TTTGAACACAGGAAGCTCTAGTTATTTCCAACAGAACAAGGGCAAATGTGGACCTTGGTTCTGTCTGGGGACAGAGTCTGGGACTGAGACCACTGCCTGTTCCTGTTTCATTTCACTCATGCGTTGGCCACCAGATATCTTAGGCTAAACTTCCTCAGAGAAAAGCTGGTAAACAGGAGTCACTTCTGCCGCCATACCAGGATCAAGCACACCCTTCTCTTCCCATTCCCGGTGGAAACTGCATGGAGGGCAGACTTCCCAGGAACCATGACTCCACCTTCACTCAGGAATTAATCAGTCCCTCTAAGGTATCATGGGAAGGTCACTGCAACAGCCCAGCATTCTGCAGAGAGAACGTGCTCAGATGGACAGCTTTTGTTAGAACCTGGATGAACTGAGACCATCTGGAACATGGAGGTCAACTTGCTGTTTGTGTATCTCCCAGAATTCTCTCCTCCCTGTCTTTACCTGCATAAACGAAGCTCTGTGGTCCATACTGATTATTTGTAAAGTAATGTGCAATGACAGGACAGTAAGAAAAGAAAATCTGGTAGAAATAGCATTTTGGCCTCTGATAAGTGAATCTTTATACGCCTTTGGCTCCCCACAGTTTGTAAAATTAACACCACAGTGACTCCTTCGGAGCAAGCTTTTGATGTCTGGCTTTGCACGCTTCAACAGAGAAATCCTGCATCTAGACATAAGAACAATTCTGGGTCTGTGTCTGGCTCATTATAAATCTCTCCTTCAGCTCTACAAAGGAAAAAAAGTGGTCCAACTTTTTGAAGCTAAAGAAAATGAAGTAACTGCTAAGTGGAAATCCTTGAGGTGCCAGGGAGGGCTTGGCTGCCGGTACTTGCCCCTTGCCAGCCATTTGTCAGGAGTAGGCTTTCTGTTCTGACCTAGAGAGCAGGGCTAGACCCTGCACGGACTCCTAGAAGGGCATGTCACAGGTGACAAAAGAAGGTCGTTCTTGCTGGTCAGTGTATGTCTGTCGTTTGTGTGAACCACCTCTGGCGGAGAAGGTCGGAGAGCGTGCCCCAGCCATGCTGCACCATGACTTCTGAGCCTTCGGTGCTTGCTACGTGTTGGGAGAACCTGGAGATTCCAGGTGCATTGATTCTGGGTGCATCGTTCAAGAGATTGGCACATGCCCAAAGACTATACCAGTCTGCCACACCTGCGCACCTGGTCCCACCGCTCACACTTGTACATCTGCTTAGCTAACAGGCCCACTGGCTCCTACAGAGCTAGAACTTGTTTTGGGGATGGTGTGGAGAGATGGTGACAAAATGGCCCTGGCAGAGATCAATCCTAAATTCTCATCACCTGATAAGAAGGGAGAGCTACAGGACCTTGGCCACCTGCCTCCTTTACATCCTCCGTCCTCTGACCCCAGCCAGTGTGCATAGGCTGCTTGTGCTGTAACTAAACCGATTTTTGTCTTGTGGAAGGGCAGCTGCTTCAAAGTGCCCACGTTTACTGCTGAATGTGAATTGTCATATTTGAAACATTTCATTTGAAAAGGGTGGTGGGTCTCAAATGACTTACACACGAAGACGAGGTTTATGTGGCTTCAGAGCATGACCAGCACCCAGTCTCTCAGACCACAGAAGCAGCTAGAAGCTGCTGAATGCTGAGTGTGTATGTGCACTGGGTTGGGGGGGGGGTATCATAGAGCTCATTGGGGATCACTTACAAATGTAAAGAAGATAGCTTAATAAGAAGGAACCTGAGTACTGTGACAGACGCTGTTAAGCCAGGTTGCACAAGACTCACCTGGCGACAAATGCCAAAGCTGAAGTCTCTAGACGGTGACTGTTCTCTGTGTCCTCATCTGTCAGATGACCTCTGTCTGTGAGCCCGTAACTCTCACCACAGCTCCTTACAGGTGTGTTGTGACTGGGATTTGTGTATTCATTATTCCCCATGTTTAGCACACCCAAGAGCATCCATGGAGAGTCAACCTAGAAAACACAGAACAGAATGCCTGACCTTGAAATGCCAACGAAGACAACAGTTGGCAGGATAAAGACACATGCTATTTTTGTCTTTAAAATTGGACTGGACGGTGAGGTGCAGGGGGTGGGGATTTAATTGAGACACATCTAATACTTGGTGTGTCAATCAGCGCTCTGTTACTATGGCAATGCTGGGGATGAGTGAGCTGAAAAGGAGAAAGAATAACTCTGGTTCACAGTTTGGGAGGTCTCTATAGCTGGCTACACTGTTGCATGGCCTTGTGGGAAAACATCACATCATAGCAGGAATGTGAAGTTGAGAAAGCTGCTCCCTCACAGGGACCCAGAAGCAGATGACAGACCAGAGGGTCGGGAGTCCCAGCATCTCTTTCAAGGACATGCCCCAGCGACCTAATTCCATCACAAGGCCTCACTTCTTAATGTGTCCTGCATCACAGGAGGACTGGCACCAAGCTCTCAACACCCTGCCTGGCCTTTGAGGAACAGTCCAAACCTTAGTAGCTGTTGAGCAGTACAGATGCTTAGTGTGGAGCAAATGATCCTAAGGACATAACTTACAGTCTGAGAGAAAGAAACTCTCTCTACAACTCACAGTCATGGTGAGATCCACACATGGAGGCCCTGTGAAGGAGCCTCCACAGTGGAGGCTGTGTGTGCCCATATCCTGCCTGGAAACCATGGCTGTCCGAGAAAAAACAGCCTTCTTGTTTCTACTGGTAGGCGAATTAAACAAAGCAGTCATTGCTGTGGTCCCTGGTCAGCTGCTGAACGAGGCTTTCTCCTGCAAGGGGAACCCTCCCTCAGGCAGCAGCAGAGGAACAGTGTGGACTGCAACTCTTTTCTAAGCTGGAGTGAAGGCATTTCCCCTGAGCTCTCTCTGTGAAGCAAAACAGACACTTGGCGCTTGCAGAAGCAATCTGCGTGATCCCTGCTCAGAAGGCTTTTCTTAATGACTCGCAGTTAAGGGAGATGTGTAGAGAACGGATCAGCCGAGTTGGAGTGGCTGGAGCTGGTGGAGACAGGAGACTTGAAGAGGAGGTGTGGAAAGCCTGTGAGCAGCCAAGATGTCTTTCACAGCCCCAGCGTGGACACCAATTGCCGTTTATAAGGCTGCAAGGCTGAGGGCAAACCTAAGAAATGGGAAAATATAAAAAGATAACATGAAAGCACACCGAGGTGGCCCAGGAGCAGCCAAGAGGACCCGCAGGCAGAGTCATCACGCCACAGCAGCAGGCAACAGTCCCTCACCAGAAGGATGCGCCATGGGTTTGTTTAGCATGTAATGTAAAACACTCCTCTTGCTGATACCGAGAGAATCTGGAGTCTTCCCACAGTTGACGTGGGACCAGTTGCTAGAGCCCTCGTGTGTTTTCTTTTTATACGTTTTTAAAATGACAGGGCTTTTACAATGTGCTTCAACACGTAATGGAATCTTTTCAGGAATAAAACAGCATAAGGCTTCTCCAAGACAAAACTAAGCACAAGCACCCTGACGCAGCCGAGTGTGCAGGCGTCATGCAACTCAGAATGGGTGTTTCCCTTTCCCAGAAAGTGTCGTCAGCTTCCTCTCCTTTCAGATTTACCACCTTAGCCTAAAGACAATCAAAGGAGTCCCAAGCTGGACCAAGGAGATAGCTTAATAGGCAAAACTCCCCCCGCCACAGTATGTGTCCTCATGGCCTCTGTACTGACTGAGCATCGTGGCCACACTGCAGTGTGTGTCCTCATGGCCCCTATACCGGCTGAGCATTGTGGTCACACTACAGTGTGTGTTCTCACAGCCCCTGTACTGACTGAGCATCATGATCACACTACAGTGTGTATTCTCACAGCCCCTGTACTGACTGAGCATCATGGCCACACTGCAGTGTGTGTCCTCATGGCCCCTGTACTGCTGAGCATCACAGCCATGCCAAAGTGTGTATCCTCACAGTCCCCTGTGTTGGCTGAACATCATGGCCATGAAGCCCTCCTACATAAGGCTGTGAAGCCCTACCCAAGCTTAGCTCACACCTAGCAGGACACCACTGGGCTGAACTTGGACCCACCTCCATTCCACCTCCCGTCTCCAGCCAACACATTCATTAATAAGGATGCCTTAAAACCAGAGAGGGAATCCACAGTGTAGGATTTGGGAGAATACACTGTGAATAAACTGAAAAGATGATGAGATGTCACAACATCCTCTCAAAAGGGTCCAACAAGCCCTGGGTGACTACAGGTGAAATAAAATCAAATCTAAATTACCCAACAACTAAATAATAGGAACAACAGAGACACATTCTCAAAATCCTGTGAGCAGGGGCAGGGGAGCAGGCTATAGGAAATAAGTGGCTCCTGTCACTGACTGGAAGTAAATCAGTCCTTTGAGAACATCATTTATTCATACAATGTATTTTGATCATACTTCCCCCACCCCCTCCAGCTCCACCACATCTCACCCCCATACACACATGTTCAGTACTGTTCAGTACCATAATGTGATAGATATCATCATGGTACCGTGGTTATGTTTTCAAAATCACAAATAATTTGAATCTTCAAGGAATGCACATAGGAATCCCTGTCTGAAATTTGCATGCAAATGTTATTTTGAAATAGCTGCATCTGAGTTTTGCATGCAGATGTTACAGAGTTAAGTTAATGCCAGTATGAACTGATGACTGTTGAAGCTGAGTGGGTGTAAGCACAAAGGTCTTTTATTGGGGATGTGATTGAAATTTTCTATTTTTATAACAAAAAAGTTTAGAGGGAGATGAGAGATCTGTTCTAAGGTGGGTTATTTGCTAATATAGGGAAACCAGATCCCCCCCACCCCGCTTAAAGTTTGAGAGACATATCCAGCACCAGTGACGCATGGACAGAAATGGCCTCTCTGTGAAAACTGGAAAAGATGACATCTGTGTAAGGTGTCACTGCAAAACCACGGGCCACTTGTCAACACATGCACACAAATCTATTGACTGGGAGCCGTGACACCATCCCTCCCTCACTATAAGCTTCTGTGTCCCCTACCAGCTGGTCTGTAGGAAACTGGAGCATGTGCAGTCGGACATGTGGCGGGGGCACTCAGAGCAGGCCTGTGCAGTGCACACGGAGGGCACACTACCGTAAAGAGCCTATCTCAGCCAGCCTGTGTCCACAGCCTGCACCCTCCAGCCGCCAAGCCTGCAGTTCTCAAAGCTGCCCACCTGCTTGGAGCACCGGGCCGTGGACAGAGGTAACCCAGTGGGACTGAGAAGGGGCGGTGGCTGGATCAAACACTATGGGAGTTTTCCTGCCTTTTCTGTACTTTTCACTCATCTGCTCTCTTGTTCAGTGCTCACGGACCTGTGGGAAGGGGTGGCGGAAGAGAGCAGTGGCCTGCAAGAGTACCAACCCCTCAGCCAGAGCCCGGCTGCTGCATGACACCGCCTGCACTTCAGAACCCAAGCCAAGGACCCAGGAAGTGTGCCTGCTCAAGCGCTGCCACAAGCACAAGAAGCTGCAGTGGCTGGTGTCTGCTTGGTCTCAGGTATGGCCATCGGATCCCCTCAGAATGGGGTCAGCCTCTTCTCTCCAAGCTGCCTGCTTTGCTTCTGCCTACTCTACGTTCAGTGTGTCTTCTCACACTGCCCATGTTCAGTTTCCTATGCTTTGGGTTCGTTACCTCTCTCAGTCCTGGCCTCAGATCACCTGCTTCGCTGGCATCCATGCTGACCTCCCTTCATGCCCGATCTCTCCTCACAATGACACTGCTAACTGAAGAACATCAGTAGCCTTTTACAAGCCCTGTGCAGATCAGGGAGAAGGTGTGTGAATTCAGAAAGCACAGAACTCATTTCTGAAGATAGTCTCCATGGGCAGCCAACTCCTGTTTGTAGAAATGTCTTGGGTTGCATGTGCTGAATCACTCACTGGCTGTGTAGCCAATGACAGCATGGCGGGAAATGAAGGGCATGTCCCCATTCATACTCCTTGGAGATGTCAGGACCCCAAAGGAGGACTAGTCAGGGAGATCTGAGCTTGGAGTATAGAGGCTTCCTGACTAGCTTTGGCCAAGGTGAGGCCAAAGGAGCCTCAGAAATCTTTCCACACCAGCCAAGGGTGTACTGTTCCCCAAGACCAAACCTCTACCTCCCCATGGTATCTGGGAAAGAAAGCCACTAACTGTTCCTGCTCATGCTTCTCAGGGCAGGGCCAAAGGTGCCCGATTGCTCCACACTCCTTGGGCCGTGCCTTGTTTAGGAAGGAAGACCACCCCCAGGGTTTTGCATTTTCCTGAGACACTGTTTGTCAATGAAAACTAAATGCAGCATTGTCCACTGCGTGCAGGAAGCTCACCACTGCTGGTCAAGTGCACAGGTTCAATGTCTCCCAGAGCAAATGGATGAGTGACTCTGGATGGATTTCCATCTTTACCTGAAAAGCCAAATCTACTGGGCAAACCTCTGAGCTGCATGTCTAGACAGCAGGAGGCATAGGTTGCATAGTTTATGGGCTCTGTCCAGGGAGAAAATTCTTCATGTGGAATTTAAAACACCACACATGCACGTGTGTGTGTGTGCGCACACACACACACACACACATATTATATATATATATGATTATATATGTGTGTGTATGAACATACACATGCTATATATGTGCTATATATATGATATATACACACATGCACAGAGAATATGTATACACACACAGTAATGCACAAACACAAACACATACATACACATACAGACTTACACACGTACACCATAGCTTATCCCTGTGCCATCCTCAATAGGCAGCATGGAATAGTCTTCTAATGGAAACTCTGTCTAGGATGTAAGGGACACAGAAGGCACTTGGAAGCCAACAGGTGAGTGTGAGGACTTCTGCTCCCTTAGATCCCCTGTTGGCAGCTTGGCCCGATGGTCCTGGGCTACCCAGCATTGCCTGTCTACCCCAGCAAAGGCCAGCAGTATCTCTCAGAGCTGGGGTCCCTACTGCAGACACCAGCACTGGCCTGAGGTGTAGAGAATGTTGCTTCACATGCCATTTCTGCTTAGCAGATGCTCTAGCCTCTTCTGTCCACTTACCAGTCTGCCCAGGGCCTCTCCGCTCGCTCACACAGGAGCCAGGCAGAAGGCACCACTCGAGCTTAGCATGCAGCCCAGAGGAAGCAAATGCTCTCACCCCCTATGCCTGGTTGCTTCCTTTCCAGGAACCACTCAGGTTTCTAGGGGAGGTTTACGAACCCTGGAATACTCTAAGGGCCCATATCGTGGCTGCAGAGGAGGTGCGGGGGGCGATACAGAGAGCTGTGACTCACTACATATCTTTGTTCATAATAGTTTTCTAATATTGTTATCAGTGACAGCCCAACATTTAAATTTCTCAGTAAAAGTGTCCTCAGAATCAGCCTCATGGGGTTTCTGTCTGCACTGCCCCTATTTATTGACCATAATTCCATGCTTCTATGATCTATTGTTTCTGGTTTTGTTCTGAGATGGGGTCTTAAGTTTGCCATCCTCCTGCTTCAGCACCACAAGTGCTGGGAGCTACTGTGCCACAGTACCCAACCTCAAATCCTCCTTACTGACTTTAATGTTGGATATTACAAGTGCCTTTTTTAAATGCCCAGGCCCAAGCCAAGAAGCGTCTATATCTATATAAGCTACAGTTGGTATCACCAGGGAACACTTGGGCCACTGAGTTCACTCAAAGGCCCTTCTTTGCCCTCTTCCTCACAGTGCTCTGCGACATGCGAGAGGGGTGCACAGCAGAGGGTTCTCAGGTGTGCCGAGAAGTACGTCTCTGGAAAGTACCGAGAGCTGGCCTCCAAGAAGTGCTTGCACCTGCCAAAGCCGGACCTGGAACTGGAACGTGCCTGTGGCCTGTTTCCCTGTCCCAAGCACCCTCCGTATGCTGCTGCAGGCCCCCCAAGAGGCAGCTGGTTTGCCTCACCCTGGTCTCAGGTAAGACACGGATGCTGGTGGCAGGCTTACACTGGGAAGCGGGCAGCTTTCCGTCGGAGTATATTCCCTAAAGCTCATTGAGCCCCCCTGGCCTTTCTCTCTCACATGTGGGTGGCCCCTCAAGGGTGGGTGTGGCATGCTAAGGATGGACTCCACATGTTGCTGAACATTATTGGGCCCTTGTGTATCATTTCTAATGTTTATGCCATCAAGTGTAAGGAAATGTAATACTCTTGGTAAAAACCTGGGCAGGGATCCCCAGAGATGGGTGTGAATGGAAAAACTATGAAATCTATAATAAATCAGCAGTGGTTAGTTTATAGCTAACCAAGTAGCTATGAAAATGAGATGGGGATTTTCATGTCGTGCCTGGGCCCTTGGAGCAGCAGCCTTGGCTGAGGGTATACAGGGTCCCTCTAGTACAGTGGTTCTTAACCTTCCTAATGCTGTGACTCCTTAATACAGTACCTCATAATGTTGTGACCCCAACCATAAAATTATTGTCATTACTACTTCATAACTATAATTTTGCTATTGTTATGAATTGTAATGTAAATATATGATATGAGAATGGTCTTAAGCGCCCTCTGCAATAAGGTTGTTTGGACCCTAAAGGGGTCACAACCCACAGGTTGAGAACTACTGCTCTAGGGCTTTTGGTATCCCCACACTCTTCTCCCTACCCACTGCCTCACCTCTGCTGTGATCATTTTGGCTTGCCTTCCTTCCTTGTCTTGTTTCTGCTTGACTTCCCAGCAGCTTAGTCCTGTGGGCTTCTGTTTCTCAGGCCCTGGTTTCTGGATATCTGTCACTCATCTATGCCCTGCCTCCTTTCTTACTGCTTGGTATTAGTGCTGCCAGATTGGGTGAACTCAGACCCTAGAACTGCTAAGGCCCTCATGCAACTGATATACCTCCAGCCACCTGCTCAGCATAGTCCTTTCATGCCTCTCTGTTCTAGTAGCCAGAGAAAGGCACACATCTCAAGACCCCACCCCATGGGCCCATGCCCCACTTCCTTTAGCTAGGTCCTACCTCTCAAAACTTCCACAGCCTCCAAAAACAGTGCCACCTGCTGAAGACCAAATGTTAAAGCATTTGATCCTATAAGAATGTCTCACAATCCTGTGAGGATGTTTCACAGTTAAACTTGAACAAGTGGCTGCAGTTAACATCTCAATCTGATAATCACCTACCTAGTTCAAAAGACTAGTATCTATTTTGATGTAGGTAAGTTTATAAGGATTTAAGAGCTAGGCAAACCACTGCTCGCTACAAGCAAAGCAGTGTCAGTATTCACACTTTGTTCTGGGGAGGAAATGACTATAGGAATAGATGCTTAGTCAAAGCCCTAAAACTAGACAGGGCTTGTGGTCATGTGACCCAAGTGACTCGTGGAGTTGACCAACCCAGATGGTCCATGTCAGCAGTGACCAACTCTCTCCAGTCTGGGTCTCTTCTCTTGGAGCATGTAAAGCTTTAACAATACTTTTCTTGAACCCAAACCTAAAACTTAGCATACCTCTTCAATAGCTTCAGTAGGTCTGAAATGCCTAATCTGTCTAATGAGTCATTTGTATCAACTGACTACAGTTTATACCCACTGAGATTCTCTTGTTGATTTAATATCATAACCTTTATAGAGCGAGCAATAACTCATGGAGTATATTTGCCTTAAGCATCTGTACCCTTGACCCTACACATAAACTGTGGAAATTTTTCGGGCTGGAAAATTTTCAGGTAGTAATGGATGGTCTGTGCCTGGCTGACCCTCCACTGCAGACAGGCTTATTCTTGTCCCAGATAAAGGACATTGTGGTGATTTGCTATCTGGGGTCTCTTCAGACTCAAATAGCTTTGTTTATCTTCTCATTTCATGGTGCACCATGGTATAAGGTTGACCTAAATCATTTCAGTCATGTATACTGAGGATCTACTGGTTCCCATGCTGTGAGGTCTGGGAACAGCTTCAATGTGATCACCTGTTGGACCCTTCTCACTTCACATGTCAGAGATGAGTGTGTCAAAGGTTGGTAGGGCAGGGCCACTTCACTAGGACAGTACAGGTTATTTGGGAAGGACATTGACTATGAGGAGTCAGCAGCTGTGTCACAGATGACACTATTGGATTCCACAGATGACAACTATGACTGAGATGTTATAACAACTGCAGAGAGAGAGAGAGAGAGAGAGAGAGAGAGAGAGAGAGAGAGAGAGAGAGAGAGAGAGAGAGGAGCATGCACAGAGTACAGACAGATGCACAAAGATTACAGTTAGATGCTGCCCTGTACACACAATGCAGTCACTCATCTGCTCTCATCTCCCAAAGCTCTAAGGGGGCATGCAAAAATAAGAACCAGCTTAGAGCTATTGATGGATAATTCACAATCTATGCTGAGTGATTTTGCACAACCCCATCCTTAATTATATCAGAAGTTGTTATGAGTAAGGCCATTGAAGTTTGTGCAATCCCATTCTGAAGAACACTGGCCTGTCATCTCCATGGCCATGGGAAATGCTCTGGATTTGGAAAGGAAGATACTACTTTAAGTGACAGACTTAATGGTCCCTCTCAACAGAGGTTCTAGAGAAGAGAGGTAGCAGAATGGAACCCTTGGTCCCCAGCACTTGAGTGTGTGTGCTTCTGTATCTATTGTCCTTTGTATTTGAGGGCTGAGCTTTGCACTGTATGAAGCCCATGGTCTCCATTTCTGTGGTCCTACAAATTCAATGGAATCCATCAGCTAAACACCAATCCTTCCTGGGGGATTAGCAACTACCATGTTTCAGAAAGACCAATGTTACAAAGAGGCAGGCTTGCTTTCATTACATCCAAAAGTTCTCAAAGCAGACACTATTATTTGTGATGCACCTGTTTAGTGTCCTCACTGATGAAGTGAGTAATCCTTCTTGCCACTTCTATCATCTAGCATCTAGTACCTATCTCGTGTGAATTGTTGATCTCTCAAACATCAGGATCACTTCTGATCCAGAAGCATTCTGAAGTCTGAGAAGCAGAAAGGGAGACAGACGGTTTTGAGTGAGAAGTGGTCAGCAAATGTCTTCAGTTAGTCTGTCGAGATAGGAGTAGATGTAACCACATCTGCAGTGTGGATTTAGTGTGGTGGTCTTCTTATTGAGGAAGGAAATGTTCTCAGACTGCAAAAGTTAATTCCATCCTAGAACCACAAGAGGACCACACTTGCTGGACCCTAGAAAGGACCATCTTCCTAGACAAGATGGTGGCTCCTTGTCACATCCAATCTCCAGAACTGGACAAAATCTTTCAAAGAGTTCTTGGGTAGTGATCTGCTATTTTGAGTTCTCCAAGTGGTTCTAATGTGAGAGCCACAGGTCCAGCATGAAACCACCAGACCAAGAGGTTTGTTTAGGTGTCTGCAGCAGGTGGCTGTGTGGGATCTGCTGAGCTGATATAGAACAAGGTTACCAAGCAGCAGGCTGTCTGCACCACAAGCAGATTGCTCAGCAGAAGTCCTGAGAAACTGCAGGAAGATGGCCAAGCTTTGAGGTTCTAGACTCTCCATTGAGCATTCTTTCCTGAGAAACTGCAGGAAGATGGCCAAGCTTTGAGGTTCTAGACTCTCCATTGAGCATTCTTTCCTGAGAAACTGCAGGAAGATGGCCAAGCTTTGAGGTTCTAGACTCTCCATTGAACATTCTTTCTTTCAAAACTGGTGACATCGACTTGTCCACAGCAAGCAGTCAGGTGAGACTCCTGGCCCCTGCTCTCCCCCTGCCTTCTCCTGGTTCCTGCCGCCTCAGTGTCTTCTCATGGCCTCTGCTGTCTCCTTGTCTTCCAGCCATCAAACTGTCTGCTCTTGAGGGCTCCAGGTGCTTCTTGTCTGTTTGTAAATGGAAGACCCAACAAGAACTCTGTGATAAAAATCCTAAGCACTCAGCTGAGTTTGAAGCCACTGTGTGTAATTGATAAACAATTTCCATCCTTCCCTGTCCTGGAAAGAAAAAGAATACACATTTTTAACCTTCATATTTTCTTTTCATCTCCTTGTATAATGCAATCCTTATCAATTCAAAACGTTTCCAAAGTTTTGAGCCAAGTATCTTTTTTCTTCCTGTGTAATGTGGAGAAATGCATATGTTGAGAATTTGAGAGATTGTTTCTTACATAAATATGCCTTTTTTCTCATGAGGCAGTCTCAGACTCTCTAAACCAGGGTGTCTGAATCACCAGGGATGGTGCCAAGCCTGAAGCAGGGAGGGGTGGGGAGCCTGGGGGGAGGGGGGGAGGGTGCCAGAGCTGGCACTGCCGAGGTCCTGAGCTTCCACGGCTGCTGGCACTGCCCGGCTTAGGACCACACTCTGGCCAGTGGCTTCTTCAAGTACCCTGAGGCCAGGCGCTGAGTCACTTGTCTGCATCACTGAGTATCGAGTACCTAGAACATTGCCCGGTACAGGAGTGATGAGTGATTGATATGTGTTCATTAAAAAAAAAAAATCCATGGCAAAGCACACCAAACCACCCATGAGTGGTTTCGAAACGGTGAACTGTGTCCAATCTGTGGCCCTCAGCTAGCAGAGGACAGTTGTGAATGCAGCCTGACTCAGAATCATAAATGTATCCAAAACATGAGAAGACTTTTGTAACTATTTTTTGGAAGTTCAGTTGAACAGTTCACAAGGATGCTACGTAGCTGTGTCATAATGTTAGACACATCTCACTGTCACCCTGAGTAGAATCCTCAGCTGAACAGGAACAGGTTCTGCTTAAAGGATGAGAGGCAGGCAGATAGAAATGGCTGCAGATGTCCCCAGTGAGACCAGGCCCATTGCTGCTTGGTCCCATTCGCCCACATCCCAAGGGCTCTCAACAACCCATGAGCTGGGTGGGGGGGCCTGACATGCACAAAGCAAAGAATAAAGGGCTGAACTGAGCTTTTGCAGTGTCGGAAGTATGATGCACAGTGGGAAACATCTGCTGACCCACTTGACCCTGGCAATTCAGAAACAAAATGTGTATCTGCCCACTGCGTTGTTTGTTCTGGTTGCCATGGTTACAAGTTGAAACTGAGCTGTGGGTGACTTTCACTAATTCTGATCTTGAAATAAAGGAGTACAATTCTAGGAAATGTTCCAGAGACGGGCTCCAGGCCCGACCATGCTTTACCGGAAGAGGAAGACATGAGCAAAAGCGATTCCTTCAGCTCCAGATTCCCAGCACTCTGTGTGTCCAATTTCTCTCCTCACTGGAGATGGGAAGGTGATTAATTTGGCGTGACACTAGACTCAGGGAATCTGAGATCACTCTGAATGCTCTGAGGGTGGCAGGCAGTAAGGATAAGTTCAGTATCCAGTTGGCTGATACTGGCATGCTGCTTTGGGTGAGTGAGTAGGTCCATGCCTGAAGCTCCAGGTCCCTGTGGTGGGACTCGGCCTTGAAAGTGTGTGCGAGCAACACCAGTGAGTCATGCGTGTCCCAATTTTTCACAGAATGATTCCTGCCAGGTAAACAACTGGTCAGTTTGTCTGCCACACACCGGGACATCCCAACTGAGAACTGACCTCATCTTCTTCCAGGTGTCCCTTTAATTGCCCACATTCTTGACATACTTGAACCACCAACCTTGCGTAAACACGCCTTAAACAATTCATTCTAGACTTGCGCTGTTTTCTTTCTTGGGTAGATTAGTCTCCACAGGCCCATTAAAGTTCCTCTGTCAGTCTAGCTGCTCATCCTTACATTTTTGCACATGGCTGGTGTCAGACGGCTCCTATGCAGTTTCCATGGAGCGTGCACCTTGACAGCCAGTGAACAGGATCGATTTAGTTCCCCCTCTCCATTCTCCCTGCGTTACTTCTGCCTAGAGTGCTGAGACAGGAAGCCCTCACTCAAGGAGCTCCTGGCTGGCATGCTGGGGTCCAAAATGGTCTGGCCTTAACACCCCTGAGGCTCCCCAGGCATCTCAATGAAGGTGCCATCTTGTCCCAAAAGACACTGTCCCCTCATGCCATGAGAAAGCAACCTGGTGTAGCCTCCTGGAGGCACTAGCTCCCTGGGTCCATCGGACCCTCAGTTGTAGCTAGAGTTTTCCTGCCTGGCCCACAGTCAGGACAAATCTCTCTCACCTGCCAGTCCCACAGCCACTCAGAGCCGACCAAGTAAACACAGAGACTTATATTGGTTACAAACTGTATGGCCGTGGCAGGCTTCTTGCTAACTGTTCTTACAGCTTAAATTAATCCATTTCCATTAATCTATACCTTGCCACATGGCTCGTGGCTTACCGGCATCTTCACATGCTATTTCTCATCGTGGTGGCTGGCAGTGTCTCTCTGACTCAGCCTTCCACTTCCCAGCTTTATTCTCCTCCTTGTCCCGCCTATACTTCCTGCCTGGCCACTGGCCAGTGATTTATTTATTGACCAATCAGAGCAACACATTTGCCATACAGAACATCCCACAGCACTTGGTACTCATCCAAGAACATTCTAGACAGAGGTTCATATCTGCAGTTAATCCTGGATGTGGCTTCCTTCAGGGTAAAGGAGAGTCGGGAAATGGGCAATAGAGTTCTGGCACCATGGGCATGATAAGACCTGGTTCAAGACAAAGCCCCACACAGGTGAGACAGTACCTGGGATTGGCCTCGGTTAATCAGCAATTTCATTCTCTCAAATACCTTCAACAGAAACCAAAATGATGTGGGGGGAAAGCTTCCCTGATTTTTTTTCTAAACATAAGAGTAACCTGGGATCACTTCCCTGGAGACAGGATCTAAGTATTCTCATTTTTCACACTGTCTATAATTTGAGGAGCTCCTAGGCGAATCCACAGATACTTGTGTTCTTATGCAATACACTGATGCCTTTAGCAAGTGTGTTATGCCTCAACATGCTGATCCCAGGAAACCTTAATCAAGGCTTCAGTATCAAATCCCCACCTGAGCGCATCCTGACAGACCAAGGCTATCTTCTCTTGGTCCTCAAGAAGGGTAAGACAGCAGTCTCATCATGGGGTAGCCATATCGTGGGCTGGTTTGTGGTGCTCTGATAGAGGGCCACACATCACCTCACTTCAGGAATCTTCGTCCCCATTACTGTCACTCTGGTGTACGACACGGCCCTCTGATAAGCGGACCTGCCAGTGGATAAGCTTGTGCTCACATCCTGGCAGCGTGTGACCGGTGTGCTTTGCCTTCGCAGTGCACAGCCAGCTGTGGGGGTGGCGTGCAGAGGAGGACTGTGCAGTGTTTGCTGGGGGGACAGCCAGCCTCAGATTGCATCCTGCACCAGAAACCGGAGACCTCCTTGGCCTGCAACACCCATTTCTGCCCTATTGCAGAGAAGAGAGGTGAGTGCCAGAGCCCCTCTGCTGGACCTGGTGTTTCAGGTGGTGATGTCAAACTTCTGGAGAAGTCCCTTAGAAGGTCCCGGGAGATGGGGTGCTGGCTGGAGCACCCTGGAGTTGGGGCCTTGTGTCCATAATAGTCTTTCCTTCTTCTCACCTCCTCTACTTTACAATGAAAATTAGGCATTTGGCATCCAGGATCCATGTTTTATACATCTTTCCTGGTCAGGGAGCTGCACCAGTGTATTTAGCACCAGAAGACCCCAGTTTCATAGGGAGGGTTTTATGAAAACAATGCCGTGCAGACCCTGTTTACACCTCACTGCTGTGACCAAATGCCTGACAGACAGCGTCTTTATGGACTTAGCGATTTTCTTTGGCTTATAGTTCCAAGGAATACAGTCCTGGTGACTGGGGTCAGGGAGATGGTGGCAGGAGTGTGAGGTAGCTGGTCACATTGTATCCACTGTCAGAAAGCAGAGAAGGGAAAGGAAGTGAGGGCCAGGGTATGCAACTTCAAAACCTGCCCCTTATGGTCCCCATTTTCCAGTCGATCTCGACTCCCAAACGTTCCACAACAACAACTGGGGACCCAGAGGTCAGACAAAACAGTCTATTGGGGACGCCCCTCATTCACACAACAACCAGCCTGGAGGGGAGCTCCTCCTCGGCCATCACAAATTCACTTTTCTTTGTGCAACAGAGACAGCCAGCAGAGTCCAGGGCTGCCCCTAGGAGCCTCGAGCTAATGCGCAGTGTGCTTGCTTCTAGACACCTTCTGCAAAGACCTCTTCCACTGGTGCTACCTGGTTCCTCAGCACGGCATGTGCAGTCACAGGTTCTACAGCAAGCAGTGCTGTGACACCTGCTCCTAGTCCAGTTTGTAAGCTGGGACCAGTCCCGGCAGACAGAAGATGCCCCCGAGGACGGCGGAGAGAGGCCAGACCGGAGAGCTCTGCAGTATGCATTGGGAAGCATCCGAGAACACGGGAGCTGGAAGAAGAAGGACTGTTGGGATTTTGACCCAAAGTGCATCCATGTGTTTCTGAGTATTGGAACACATACCTGCACCCACAAAGACACGTTCTGTCCTGTCCTCCAGTTAGGTGGGAAAGTAGGGTCCTGCTGCTTGACCTCCTGCCCATGGACGGGAGGGCCTGTGCTGTAGTTGGCATGAAGCAACCTTCCCCCATGTTTGCATTCAGCCAAACCACGTGCCGGAGATAGGCATAACTTAGCAAATGCTGGATGTATTTCTAAAAGGAGAAGGGCAAGTAATCAGAAAAATGTGCACAGCATCTGCCATCTAGCACACCGGCCTCCCTCCTGCCTCGGAGACCCCACTATCATCATGAAAGTTCTGTGAACACTGAAGGGCACCTGGGAGATAGCTCTCTCCTACCCCACTGGCTCCAGGAGCTGGTACTTGCTGGGGACTCTGACTTAGGATTCACATACTTGGAAATGGAAAACCAAAATTCCCACTAAGGTGCTTTCTGTACTTTCAAACCCTGGGCTGGGGGAGCAACTTTGATACTTTGTTTTCTTTCTCAGTTATTCACAGTGAGTTCTTATTTCAATCCATTTTTCAGTGTTGTTCTGTTCTGTTTTAAATGGGGGATCAGAAGTACAGGTGACACTAATATCTAGGTGTCCCTGGAAAGGCAGGATCCCCAGTAATAGACAGATGTCAGTCTAGTGGCTGATGTGCTGGTAGTGTTAAGCCCTAGGCTGTGGTTTCTGTGTTGAGTGGTTTTAAAATACATTCCATAGGTTTGATTGCTTCTGAGCTGAGAGCAAAGGCCAATGACCTTCAAATGAAAGGCCTCGTGGCAACCCTCTACTCTACCCCCATACCTCTCCCTGTCATTATTGGTGCTTCTTTCTGATCTCCCCACCTAGGGCCTTCCAAATAGGCTCCTAGATATTTATATTTGCTGAAATTTTATAATAAATTTTATATTGTATGATATGCTTTGGAATAGCATCATGGTTTGTCCTGAGGTTTACTTCTGAGGAGAAGGGCTGGCAGAGGATACCAGGAAAGCAGTGCTGAAGAGGGTTTTAGAACATCATGGAAAGTTATCCAGCCCTGTCACGGAGGAGAGGATAGAGCTGGAGGAGAGATGGGCAGGGGCAGGTGGAGGAGGCTTTGTGCTGAGCAGTAATGTCTGCGCTACTGTGCTGTGGTGGTTATTCTAATGGGCGGATACCTGTGAACCAGAGAGAGTGCTGTGGTGGTTATTCTGATGGGCAGATACCTCTGAACCAGAGAGAGTGCTGTGGTGTTTATTCTGATGGGCTAACTTGGCCAGAGCATGTGACGGCCAAATAAATTCGAGACAACATGCTCTGAAAGTGCTTTCTAGACATGACTAAAGTTTTCATTATTAGCCTTTAAAGGAAGACTATGCTCCAGCATGTGAGTGGACCTTAGCAGACCAGCTGAGGGGCCCCACAGAAAAGACAGGCAGTCCCCCCAGAAAAGGGTGGGCCAACACTGGAAACTTACCAGCACAGTCTGCTTTGCTTGGAAATGACACCTGTTGGTGCAAGAGCACACCATAGCTTTGAGTACACAGACCTTCTCATATACCGGAATGGAGAGACCCCATTGTAATAGCTTAACAAACAAGAAGGTGACCTTCAGCAGATTGGAGCCAAGGGGCACCACCAAGTCACACCATGCAACAGAGCTCACATGGAAGGCTTATTGGGATGAGGTAAAGAGGTGGCCTCTGAGCCAGAGCAGGAGGAAAGAGAGTGAGGGGTGTGTGGGAAGATCTTGCCTTTTATAAGGGGATATAGTGCATGTGCATAGGTAGAGTGCTCTACTTGGTGATGGCCATAGCTACAGTGTCATATCTTGGCTACTGCTGATGACGTGTCCTACTGGGTCCCTGAGAGCAGGCCAGTGTAAATGCCTGAATGCTAACACCCACAACCCATTTTACAGACACATCAAGAAAGAAGTTCTATGTAGTGTTCCCTGAAGACACAGACCAAAAAAGGGATTCATAGGTTTCTATAGGATGCTGTGTAACTTAGAGTGCCACATTCCAAAGTCCTAGTTCTCCTGATCTTATAGCCCTGTTAATTCACCAACCTCTAAGGCAGCTTTCCAAGCTGCTGCCAACAAATCAGACTTCTAGGAACCAGTTCCTAAGAGACCTCTTGGCCTAGTTTTGTGAAAAGGGCAAATATGATCAAGATGTGGGGCCAGCACCATCATGAGATAGTGTGCAGTCACAAATTGACATGAGCACCCACAGCAGCATTCCACGTGGATAGGACCAGGCAGACAGGTGCTGCCTTCGACAGGGATGAGAGAGAAGCAGCCTTCTGCCTGGTGCTGAAAGTGAGGATGGAACAATAAGAAGGGCAGGTAGTGAATGGAGCAACCACCACTTGCCCGTGGCTCTGCTCTCAGGGGAAACCATGAACAGAGATGCTGAACTGCATCTGCCAGAGTCAGACTGGGAAGACTAGAAAACCGGGGCCCTTCTCAGCCTCCCCACCCCAGGCCATCACCTACTCCTCGTCTTCTTCAGAAGTGGACAGAAAGGATCTCACCCAGGCTGGACCAGGTCTGACCAGAGTCTTTATCTACTCTCTGCTGTCAACATTGGAATGTGCAACTGTCCAGGACTGCGTTTAGCTTGGGATGCGTCCCGTGTTGGCTGAGTATGGAGCGAGATAGGATACTAACAGCACCGAACCTGCAACTCTCACTATGAGGGGCCATTCCAGTTTCAGAGGGAGGAGTGGCTTCCAGGCCACCAGGCTGTAAGCTGCAAAACTGATTGGGCCAGAAAACAGGAGCTCAGCAGCGACAGCAGCCACCGTCTCTGTCTTCATGTCCACAGCACATATTTTCATCCCACTCTGTCTGGTCCTTCCCCTTGGTGGACACTCCTGTCCCCCACAATGCTCCAGCTTCTTTGCCTCTGTGCCAGGCATTCTCAGTCAGTCATTTTCAGTAAGGCTCCAGTCCCTTGAGGCATCTGCAAACGCCACTGACCGCTCTAAAAGACATAGACATGTTGCTGCCTCCCACTGGTCACCTGGGATTTCCTTAAAAGCAAGTGCTGGACTTGCCTACTGAACCAGGACCCACCCACTGGACCTGGATCCCACTATACTCACTCTCCAGTGTCCAGAAATATTGGGTTATCAGATAATCTCTTCCTAACTGGGGGACATTTCTCAACCTTTTTCAACTTGTGTGTTCTAATGTAGTCTTTAGCTTTGGGCCAGAAAAAGGTTCCAGGGACAGAGCATATAAATGCCACAGGAATGACGAACCCAATTCCAGGTAGATGGTGGGGTCCTGTCTTCCCACCCTCGTCACCCCCCACACTCCATATGAAATGTTTAACACGGGGTACCAGTGGACCCATGGAGGTGCTCAGCATCCCCCCACACCGCGCCACCTTGCTCCTTTCTCAGGACTCTTCACTCACCTCTGACCACTCATACTGCCCTGGAAGCATTGCATGGTTCTGAGCCCCAAAGAGCTGTGGTCACTTGACTGAGATGCATCCTGGTGTGTCGTGTACTACCCTCTTCTTAGCAGGTGACAAAGGAGCCAAAGCCGGAGCAACAGAGAGTTGAGAGACATCTTTACAGCCTTGGCATGCTTGGTGATGGATGAGTTTACAGTGAGTAAGGGCTCCGGCTGCTCCTTATCCTGGGGGCTTAGGCGGGATTTTCTCTGCTCCTTTGTCAATTGTCTTCGGAAACCATGGCAGAGCCACAGACAGCCAATGTCCTGTCTCACTGGCCTCTTGGGAATCATGCCAAGTGCTGCTTTTTGGAACCCAATGGGGTGAGGCCAGAATGGCCCAGCAACAGGCACCACAGCCGTCTGGACTAGGCACAGACCCCAGGAATTCCAGGCTGTGAGGGAGGCAGACAACAGACAAAACAAAGCTGTGGGGAGACAAAGTGAGGAACCAGCCCCAACCGGACAAACCAGAGCAGGAGGCACTCTCCTCCCTGTCTGCCTGTCTGTCCCTCTGAGTCCCGCCAAAGCTCCCTGCTGCAAACAGCTCCTCCCAGCCTAGCCCAGCAACTCCAGTGCCCAACATCTGTAGGAGACTTTAAGATAAAGAAAGCATCCTACACCCCCCAAAATTCCTATGACAAAACTCACCCTTCCCCACCCCATACCCAGTATTGCTGTTTATCTTTGTAATTCTGAGCCTGTCTGGGAAGCCAGAGCAGCCACGTTTGAGCTCCTGGCTTTACTCCTGGTAGGGCCTCATGCCTCTCTATCTCAAGGGACACATCAAAGCTCCCCTGAGTCTGTTTCCAGCAAGCCCATTCTTGCCTTGGGCTGGAGAACAGGCAGCAAGCTTCCCATCCTCGCTCTCCTCCTGTCTTTTTTGACTCTGTTCTTTGTACTCCAACTCTGATATGCTGCCCTTCTCGAAAGCTTCTTGTCCTCTTCCTTTACAGTAAATGTTTCATGCCCCGAGAACTGTTTCTCATTTACTTCAGGAGGCTGAGGCTAGTGAGCCTTACAAGTGGTGGTCCCCAGTGGGAGCAAAGACCTTGACGATGCTTCCTGCACAGCAACTGCAGGTCCACCTACCAAGACACCTGGTTTGGGGGGCTCTCCACACATTCCTGATATCTCTTTCTTCTCTACGAGCAAAAGGAGAGGCCAATCATTCCTTCCCACGATGGGGCTTCTCTGGCCGAGTCTGTGTGAGCCATGGGCAGAGAGCAGAAGGTCTTCCCAGTAAAGGACAGTCCCTGAGCAACCCTGTGAGCCTCTCAGCTCTGACCAGATAAGAACCTAAACTCCTATTAGTGTGGTGGTCCCTGACCCTTGCCAGGGTCCACCTTAGAGGTCTGTGTAGTGTGGCTCCACCGTGTGAATTCCAGGTTCATAATATTTCAGCCAGTGGGAGGTTATGTCTGGAACAGACTCTGGAACAGAAAGTGGAGACCAGAATAGACATTGTTGCCAGCTCATCACTGCCATCCTGTCTTATCACAGAGAAAATAATCAACTCTTCTAGAAGGAAGTTAGCCAGATTTGACAGACCATCAAATACCCCCTACTTACCCATTACTTCTGACTTATACCTTCCCATGACATGGCTATTAGAAGAGGCACTAAACACTTCCTGGTTGGCAAAGCAAAAGCCAATGCTGCATCTCATGTGGATCCCCTCATGCTTCCACTCAACAGACACCAACCCCAGCATAAAATCCCTCCTCACTTTAAGCACTGCCTGTCCTGTGGTAAACGCAGACACTTCACCACAACATACCCCAGGCTAGCCTCCTTCTTCCCCTCTACTTCCACAGGTATTCCTGGTGTCTGCTGTAACCGAGGGCCATACTCAAAATGTTCAAAACCAGGAAATTTGCCATTGTTCTTGGGGTTCCTCCTTCTAGGGCACCCCCAGAATCTCTATCCCCAAAGCACTCACTGAGCGCTGATGCTCCCCCATCCGACATGCCTTCCATTCCTTTCTCTAGCCTGGATAGTCACAAAGGTCGCAGTCTCCACAGCATTTCTTCTCTCACCCTCTTCCCAGCTGGTGCCAGGAAGGACTTTCCACATGGTTCGTACCTCACATGGTCCACACTGCTGTTCACTGCTGGCCACCAATGGCCTCCCCTCCATCTACTTAGCAGGAACTCACATGGTCCACACTGCTATGCACTGATGGCCTCCAATGGCCTCCTCATACATCACCTACTTTGAAGAAATCTCACATCACCATTTACCTAAAAATTTCCTTTCTTTTCTAACACAAATAGAACATTTCCACTCATCCTTTTGTTGCTGTGACAGAATTCCATGACCAACATACCTCACAGAATGAAAAGTTTATTTGGATTTCAGAAGGATGAACCCATCATGGCAAGGAAGCATGGCAGCAGGCAGCTGGAGCAGGAAACGGAAACATCATGTTTCCACCCACATGGCAGAAGCTGAGAGAGTGACCTAGA